TTTTTTTATTTTTATTATATTTTATTTTATTTATTTTATTTAAAGCTGTCATCTGGAGGTGGTAGCCCGATTCGGGTGCTGCAATGATCCCGCGGACTACAGTGGTCGCAACATCGCTCCTCGAGGTGCAGTCATGCCAATCAAGCCAAAGGGGAGCAGTCAAACCAAGAGTAACGAGACCTTATACTATAAGTAATCGTATTGCGAGGCGGTTTGTGGGAAATGTTGTGTGGTCGTCCGCGTAAAGAATATGAACTGACTAACGGCTTGAGCGCCTAAGGTGAAGCTGTTCATTGGTCCGGATGCTCGACGGCTTATATCATGCGATTTTGATGGCGCTTAAAGGCCCCAGCAGGATTCAAGAATCTGACACTCTTGACAGAAAGCAACGATACTACCTTCACCCGAGGAAGGACAGGCTAGAAAAGACCGGCCCTAAAAACCGCACACTCCGACCGCCCAACGGATGAGCATGACCATTGGCACACTATTCCGTATGGTCGAAACACTTTGGTGCAGCTCAGAAGGCAACCGTTGTGTACAACTGCATTGGTAGTCAGTCAGTAATACCCCAATACATGCGCTATCGAATTTGGCCAATCTCAAGCAGCTGAGCAAGTTAGAACATTAAGTAATCAGCTTCTGGCAGGGTCCCCAAGGAAAATCTTACTGTTCAATGCCTCGTGGATCATATTTCGAGTCCGAAGATAGGGAAGGACCCCCAAATAAAATCCTACATCTTTCACTGCCTGGTGCGTCAGACTTTTGAGTTAAAAGCTCAATGATGGTTACCCCAATCTAAACCCTCTTTCTGGGCCTGGGGAACCAGGAATTAACATTTGCTCGCACAGTGCTTTGCCAAGTGGCTGTTGATGAAGACCTCGTCAATATAGAATGTGCAGAGGACATTGTTCTCGTCTTCAAAAAAAGGACGCAGTTATTCCCGGCCGGACTGACCAAAAGCATCCTATCTTTAGCATGTACTTTGCACCCGCAAAGCGTAGGGCAATGCCCTTTAACATGCAGTCACTCAACACGCCAGGGAGAGTCAATCGAAGTTGTAAAGCGTTTTACACATCTTGGAAGTTGTACTAACCCCGAAAGTAGTAGTAGTAGTCGGCGAGCTGAACCACCTCGTGGTGCCGACCGGGTAGCCTGGACGTCAGTCTGGGTGAGCTAAGAGTTCAGCAACTCCAGACAGGGCCAACCACCCCGTTTGGTTTCAGTGTGCTGGTTACTTTCGACAATGTATACTACGAATCATCTGTCGCCTCCGCACCAGTTCCAACCAGTACACAGGAGAGACCCGTTGGGTTCACGTGTGAGGAATGTGGCAAATGCTGCAAATCGAAAGCTGGCTTGGTAGCCCACCATCGAGTTCACGACAATGAAAGTGTTGGTACGAACACGGTTGCCCAATTGGCATGCGCTGATTGTTCCCGCCTTTTCCAGACGAAGATTGGCCTGAGTCAACATCGCCGGCACGCACGCCCCACCCAGCATAATGCGGATAAGCTTGGCCGAGTGAAGTATTCCGGTACCCGCTGGTCCCAGCAAGAGTCACGATCGCT